TCTTCTCCTATAAAAGCTTATACTGCACACTCTTAGTGTGTGCTTGCCATAAAAGTATTGCCCCAACAGACTGACCCCTCTAGCTATGCTTATATATATATATATATATATATATATATATATATATATATATATATATATATGTATATATATTTCTTATATATTTCTTATTACTATATATGTTATATTTAGTGGACACATGAGTTTCATTAGAAACTTCTTTTTTTAAACAGTATATTCTCTTTATTACAGACTCAAAAAAATCCAAGCCATTAGATGAAAATACACTGTTCAAAAACAGAGATATGTACTCAGACATGTATATCCATTATATTTCCTGCTACTCCAGACTTTATTTTGTGGATATCCATGTTTGAGTAAATGTCCTGTTTTCTATAAACAGTATAAATTATGACTACCAATCTGAATATTTCAGAAACCTAATAATGAAAATATACTCTCTGGCAAGGTTTAAACTTCTCCTTTGTAGTAAAAACCACCATCTGATCTGGTGTGCTTTAGACCACTCGGCTACAGAGAGCCTCATAGCCAAGCAGGATTCAATTACCCATTTGAATAATGCATATTTTCTTGTTCCGAATTTCTCAAAGCCCATATCTGCTCATTTTTTTTTGTATCCAAAACATAAAAGTAAATTTCTAAGAAATGAATGGATTTCTTATCTGATATTACTTCCTACCACTCTAGACATTATTTTGTGGATACCCATGTTTCAGTAGATGCCCTTTTTTTATAAACACAAGGATGCACATATATACATATAAAGATCATATCTTTCATAAGATACATTATAAATCAAAATGTTCAAACCATTATATAATATCATAACCTCTGTGTATACTTTTAGTGATAATAAAACACCAAAAAATATTACTTACCTTTTAGAACAAAATAGAATAATTATGAGTAGATCAATTTTGCTGTGGCCAAATTTCTTGAGTCAAATATTTTTATCCAAAGTTTTATTTATTGGAGTTTAATATAAAAACAAAAGAAAGATAATAATTTTATATATTATTTCAAAGCAAATAATAAAGAAATATAAATGTTTAATGATCTAATAATTAGAAAATCTTTGTAAACTTCTGTTCAGTGAATCATTAAAAATTATAATCAGACATTATTAATACAGCAAATTTGTTTTATTAAATGCTAATTTATAGAATTGCAAAAGACAAGTATTGTCCCTTATTTTGGCCTTAGTGATCATTATTTTGATTATTTTGAATTTGCAGAAATCTTTGAATCTATCCTGACCATCACAATTGCAAATCATGTCAAACAAATGTGTCAGGAGATTAATTAGCAAAATAAGCATCAATGTGAAACACATTGACAAAATGGTTGACTCAGATCTTCCTAAATTTATGTGAAGGACAAATGGTGCGACGTCACCTTTTAGACATTGAGTGGAATAAATTTTGGTATGGCAACAATTTAAATTAATTGTCCTTGTTTAAAATGAATAAAAATCATAGAGGTAGGCATGCTATTCTACAGCTATTCTGTTTGAAATGCTGAATTTAAGTCAGTAGTCAAAATATTAGAAACAATTCACTTGATCACATGAAGTCCTTTAAATGATAAAGATTAAGGCAAGGAATTGCAAGATAATCCCTTTAAGTAACATTATGCCAATGTAAAAAAAAAAAAATGTTTCTTTTTGAGGTTATCAAAACTAGCAATTAATGAGAAGTTGCTTAAAAATCAAATGTTTTTAGTTATACAGGGTGTGGCAGAAATATTTCCCACATATACCTCACAGAAATACCTTCTACATAATGGTAAGATATTAGTTACATAGTGTGGCAGAAATACCTTCCACATAATGGTAAGACATTAGCTAGATGAAGACACCATTGCCACTTGCCTAAGTTCACTAGCACCACACAGGTGACAGTTTAAAATGTGGGTGGGATTTTGCTGCACTCATTATGTGAGAGAGATTTCTAGGTGGTATTTCTGCTGCTCATTGTACAATACACCAATATAGCAAGTCATAGGAAAATAAATCATAGGAAAAAAAAAAAAAAAGGAAAAAAAAAAGAAAAAGGAAGATGGTCATGGAAGAAAATTCACAAAGTATGATTTCTCAGGATAGGAAATAATTGTAACTTTGGTTTGTGGGTAAGAAAATATCACAGAGAAAATAAGTAATGCTTTAACTTAAAACAAATGATATTTTTAATAAAAAAAGTAATATTTTATTTTATTCAATACTAGCAGTAGAGCCCAGCATTGCCCATGGATGTAACAGTAAGAGATAGATCAAGTATCGACCATCATAAAGACTGAAAAATAAAATTGACAAAGATTATTGTTTAAGGTTGATGGACACGCATGTCTTAATTAGTTTTTTTTTTTTTTTTACGAATTGGTCAAACCCAAACCCAAACAAAAACATTGTTTTCCGTCGTTATGAGTCTATCGATTGAATAGAATTTTATTATAAACAATTGTCTTGTAAATGGAATTTTTAAAGCATTCTGAATGTAAAAATAAAGAAAAAAGTGTGCAAGACAATAAGAAACACTACCTGCCAAAAAAAAAAAGTGAAGTTTTGTTGAAATTGGTTGAAAAAATGTAGGAAATCCGATCCCATATATAAATGAACATACACACACACACACACACAAACAACCTGGGTTTTATAATAAGTATAACTCGATATGAGTTATCCCCTTTCATTCCGTGGAAGCGATGCCTCTTAATCGTGTTTTCAAATTGATTTTGTGCAAAAACAATTGTATTTTTCCAATTTTTGGCACTGTCAGAACCACTGCAAGGTAATTTTACGTAGTCCTGTGAAGTTTTGTTGAAATCAGTTGAAAAATGTAGGAAATCTGATCCAATATACAGACACACACACACACACAACCTGGGTTTTATAATAAGTATATGATATCATAATAAAAACTTTTATTCAATTTGTAGCCATGAATGTCTGGGTTACCATTATTTACATTTGGAATAATGACCTTATCTTTGCTGTTCTTACCACATTTTAGGAAGTTATGCTCTCTGACCTCTTACCCTGTAACACTCTGCAATATCATAAATATTTCATCCCCATCCATTGGGTATCAGTGGCCAGACAACTGCAGTAGTATCATTTTTGATTTTCAGTTTGTCATTTTCCTGTTGCCATAGTAGGATATGACAAAATTAATGTAAAATTCAACTACATTACTGTCTGATGATCAGAGTTGTATGCAATGGCTGTACAGACATTTTGTTTGACAAATGAAGTCACCTACATACAGAGTACTAAAGGTTTGATGCCTGTTGATCTGGGTAAAGAATTTAAACTGAACCCTTAGAGAGGAAGATAGTGTTTATTTCTAGGGATATCTCAGTGGTTTTTTTTCCAGTACAGTTATTGCAGATCCTGTTTCCACTACTCCCTAATATTGGTGTGTGAATATGATGTCATAGTTATTGTGAGTTCAATTCCTAGGCTGGGTAGTACAGATTCAGTAGAAACAGGACAAGCAGTAACAGAACAGTCATAAAATCATAACAAGATATCTCTTGACACAAACAGCAGAACAATAACAAACTATTCCTATGGATGAAATCTGTATTTAAAAAAAAAAAATAAGTAAAGTTAATAACAGTCTTATTTAATTTATAGAAATTAAATTAATATTTTAATAAAATTATTTATTAAAATGCTATTTCATTATCAATTAAATATGGTTTATTTTATGAAGTTATTTTAAATAAAAATATTACTTATTTTCTCTGACTTTTGTGGTTGGAGGAAAAGTCATGGAAATCATAAAGCAAAATATTTTTAGGGTAGAAAAAAACTATAACTTTGGCTTTTGCAGTGAATTATAAAGAAAAAATAGACATTTTTTTTTTAATATTTATAAACTAAAACTAATTTAAATATGGTAAAAAGCAAAAATTCTTGATATGACATTCATCACATCTCTTATATATTAAATATAAACTTTTAATGATCAACTTATGTTAAGCAAATCTTTTTTTTTTTTTGTTGAAAACCAAATTCTATTTAAACTCCCACTTGATTATTTCATCTGATTCATGACAATAAAATCATTCAAATCACAAAAATACAGTAAAACCATGAATTTTACAGATTATATAATGCAATGGGTTGTATTTTATTTGTATTATTTTTATTAAACCCAGCAGCCTCACTTTTCTTTTTCTTTTTTTTTTTTTTGATGACTTTATTTTATGGACCTCAGTGATGCTTTATAATGGGGCGGGGGTCATGCTGTAGTTCACATAAGTATCTTGTCAAAACATTTCAATTAATTTTACTTTATGTCTCATAATTGTTTTTATTTCTATTCATTTGACACAGGCAATATAAAAAAAAGGTCAGCATTACGTTCTATATACTTGACAATGTGAAACAACTTGTTACTTTGTACATCATTGTCTTTTGTTAACATTAAAATTAATAAGTTGTTAAAGAAAATAAAAAGTGTGTCTAGATTGATAATTTTTTTTTTTACTAAACTCAAAACAAACACTGATAAGCAGGAATTGTCTATATCTATCATAGTAAACATATTGAAAATGCTCCATTTAAGACAGTTCAGTGCTCCTTACAACATGTGGCCCTATAGAGTAATGCTGCTTGCAACATGTGACCTTCTAGAGAAGTTTATGCATAAGTCAGTTTTTGAATGTCATTTGATTGTACCAACTTGTTATTACAAATAGGGGAATCTTATTGAGAAGTTAACTTGCAACAATTTTTTTAGGACTATACACATTACATATTGTCTATTACCCTAAAGAAAATAAAAATACAGGCTTTTTATAATTTGAATAACAATAATGAAAAATGAGAATTAAAAGTTTTGAAAACTAATGGAAAAAGCAGTGAGAAATACAAAGGAAATTAGAAAATCTTAAGAAAGAGAATGTAAAACATTCTGCTTATCTTCTGAATAGAAAGAAGAAAAGAAAAAGGAAAGAATAAAAAGAAAAAGGAATTAAAAGAAAAAAGGAGGAAAGAAAAGAAGAAAGACAAAAGGAGAAAAGAAAAAGGAAGCAAGAAGAAAACAGATGGAAAGAAAAGAAGAAAAAAGAGAGGAAAAGAAGGAAAGAAAAGAAGCAAAAAGAAAAAAGGAGGAGGAGAACAGGAATGAAAAGAAGAAGGTAAAAAAAGGAAAAAAGGAAAGAAAAAAGAAAAGAAAAAGTGAAAAGAAAAAAGATGAAGAAAAGAAAAAGCTAAAGAAAAAGTGGAAAAAAGCTAAAGAAAAAAGTGGAAAGAAAAGAAGAAAAAAGATGAAAGAAAAGAAAAAGCTAAATAAAAAAGTGGAAAGAAAAGGTAAGAAAGGAGGAAAGAAAAAAGAATTTTAAAAAGTATTACAAAGCTTAAAAAAAACCTACGGCAAAGTCACAACACTTTTTGTGTGGTTTAAGACATCAGCCAAAACAGCATTTTTTATCCCATTAAGATGAGAAAGGATTAATAAAATCTGACAAGAAAATGTAAATAATCCTTGTTATTTGTTATATAATAATGCTGTTTAGATGTTTTTGTCCAATCATTAAAAAAAATTAAGTTTAAAACAGATTAGATCTAAAAAGTATTAATGGTTATTGAAGATTTCAAACTCATTAATATTAAAAAAATACAAAAAATATTGTACAAAAATTGGACTTAAAAGTTTAAACAAAAGAAAAATGTTAGGTTCATTACTAAAAAAAATTCTGACCTACAAACATTTATTACCTTGTATGTTTTTACTGTGTACACAGCAATATAAAGTTCCTGAATCAATATTTTCAGCAGTATTTTTTTGTGCTTAACAGATAAAGAATGGAAAAGGATAAAGAATATGAAGTAATGGATTCAACATATTAACAGGTGCATTCAAAATGGGCATTTTTATCACTGATTCTTTGAAAATATAGACTTATGATTTTTTTTTTAAACTTATTGCAATAATTCAGGAAAAAGCATAAATAAGTAAATGTCTTGGAAAAAAGATCTTAATTATATCAAAATTTAAATGATGGACAAAATGAGAAAAAAAAATAATAAGGTTAAAAACACTAATCTGGAATAAACATTATTAATTTTTTTTTCATTTTTTACAGCTTATCAACCCTTTGCAGGTTATTTAAAGCCAGAAAATATTTTTAGATTCTAAGATGTTTTTTTTTCTTTTGGAAATAATAATGTTTTAGTGATACAAGTTTAACTAATTGATTCATACCTTTTTTCCCCCAAGGGTATTTGTGCATAAATGAATATAACAAACCTGACTGGAATTGGAACTCAGCTCTCTGATAAACAATTCTAAGCCATTATCCATTACATCACCTGCCCATCCAAGCTTACAGCACCTGGTATTTCTCAGTGATCACTCATCTAGGTATAGACCAGGCTCGATGTTTAACTTCGGTGATCACAACCAGTGTCTCAATGTGAGGTGTCCATAAGTCAGAAACATTATTAATATATCTACATTGTCGTTTTAAAAAATGAATAAAATCACCTCATATTTTTAAAAGAAGTTTTAACCATACTTCATATTGTGAATACACAAATCCAAAATGAAAAAGGAACAACCTTTTTTTTTAATTTTAGAATGTCATTGTTAACTCTATACAAATCAGAACTGGAGGAAAAGGACAACATCAGAAATCTGCAGTTATCATTGATATGAGCAGTTTCAAATTTGATGCTTGTAATTAAAAACAAAGTACAGATAACTCTTTAAAAAGTCAGGGATTGATTTACCACTGGATTTATATTAGAACCAGGATGCCTCTTCTAAAATGATAAAACATCAATATTTTTCAATTCTGACAAATGTTGGGGATAGAAAAAAGTCTAATAAATGCAAGTCTGTAAAAATTATTTAAAAAAAAAATTCTTCCATATTTTTTATGAGTGGACCAATTAACCTAAGTAGTCCATTTTTTCCATTTTCTAAAAATGTTTAAAATATGAGGTGAATAACCAAATTAAAGCAAGATGTATGATTTCTTAAATTCAAATAAATATAAATCTTATAATGCTGAAAGTTTTATGAAACTAACATATTTTCATTGCTTTCTAAAGAACCTTTTAAATTCTACACATTTTTTTTTGCCTCAGTGAAAGTTTTTTTTTAAACCTGTTACAGTATTTAAATTTGTGACCTCCAGATTATAATTAACATGATGCTTTAATTGACAAGAGATAATAAAAACCTGTTATATAATACCTTGTATGTAAAAAAAAAAATAAAGAGGCGTATAGTCACTTAAGATACATATAAACAAGAAACATTACTTACATAACACAAGTCATAAGGAATGACTGTACTGGCATTTGTTCTTAGATGATAAAAGTTGTTAGCCTTGTCCAGTTCAGGGAACTACAGGATAATTAATAGCAGTTGACCATTTTAAACTTGTGGGGGTAGAAAAAAAAATGGAAGTAATTTGGCTTCTGTTTTTACCATCTTATCGTAACCCGAATTATAAAGCACATATAAGCACCATCGAGTCAAATTTTAAACATTTTTGTGAACTAAAACTTTTTTTTTTTTTAATATACAAGAAAAATAATGAAATACTGAGGTATGAGCCTCTTGATTAGAAACTGTTTTTCATAAACACACAGATTATATATATATATATATATATATATATATATATATATATATTTATTGTCAGCCTATAAAGACTCAAGATTCACAAGTGTATTTGGGAGACTACTGCTCATTGTAGCTCATCCAAATATCATAACTGACTGACTTTTATGCCCCCCCCCCCAACATAATACCACCACATTGCAGTGTGCTTTTTTAATTTTAATATGAGTCTTATATGTTGGCAAATATGCTGTGTGTGTGTGTATATATATATATATATATATATATATATATACATTAGTGGACAGATAGACATGAGTTGTGTGTGTGTGTGTGTGTATATATATATATATATATATATATATATATATATATATATATATGTAGCTTTGATACACTACAAGTGATTTTTCCAGTTATTTTTAAAGAGGTAAATAAATGTAGTTCATGTTCTATGTATTTTCTCCAACAGTGGCATACGTAGAGTCAGAATCATCATCCTCGCAAGAACGTTTCCGAAACGGTTTCTGCTTATAGGGATCCACCTTGACAGTCTGGGGATTGTTAAGGTTGTAATTCACACTCTGGAAATTGTTCAAATGATCATAAGTGTGTTCTTTGTAGGGTTTCTTGAACCTGAAAATTGCAGAAATGGAAAAAGTCATTACTAACAGATAGAGATTTAATTTTTTTTTTTTTTAACATTTGATATAAAATACAATGAATAACCACACATACACATTTTATATATATATATATATATATATATATATAGTAAAGGTAATCAATCTGTTGCTATATAATCCAAGTGGATCCTAGTAATATAAAATATTAAAACTGATCCACAAAAAGGGCTCAAAGCATTTATTATTACAGACCAAATAATTAGTACACAATAAAATCCAAAATTACGCCATATGGGGAACAGGCTTATTTCAACCAACAGCATTCATCAGTCTTATTCAACCCTGGTACAGACTGAGTTCATGTCAGAATTAGAAACTTAACTGTGACAGCTACAAAAAAAAAAAAAAATTGCAAAACTAATACAGAATTTATCCATTTCAATGTTTCAGTCAGACGAAATGCATGAGACAGTTGTTAGGGGAGGGTCAAAGGTATTAGTTTTAATAGGAAGAGGTTTTATAAAATTAAACCCGCATATTAATTCTGAAGAATGAAATATTAATTTGAAACTAAGAGAGGAATAAAAAGTTTGTTTTCTTTAAAAAAAATCATATAGATAAAGTCTATACCAGGGTTGAATATGACTGACAAATCTCATCAGTTGAAATAAGCCTTATCCCCCGTATGATTAGTGTAATTTTATATATATTTTATGGTATATTGTATATATTATATATATATATATGACAGAAGACCATCTCCACTATATATATATATATATATATATATATATATATATATATATATATATATATTATTCAGACTATTGTCTTCATCTTCATTTGCAAAAAAAAAAAAAAAAAGATGCTAAAATTTCCTATATTAGTCTTTGGTCTCCCACTGACACAAGGAAAACAAAATTTTGAATATCCTAAAAAGGATAAAAAAATATAATTTAATAATTAAGAAATTCTTTGACTTTTTCTCTTAATAATAACAAAAATCTTGATGATTATACTTTGTTTTTATTAAGTTTGGGGCATTTTTTCATATATATATATATATATATATATATATATATATAGATATTACAGTAAAGTTCACCCTTTTACAAGGCCTGGGGGCCACTCGAGATAGAAAGTTACATTAGCAGGTATCTTGTGTGTACAGGAGTGAAATGAAATGGTAACCCTAGCCTTGATTAAGATTAAGATTGTTGTGATCAGGTAAGCATTCTTTTGGGAGTCAGTTCCACAGAACAGTGGTTTGCAGGAAGAAGCTGTTAGAGTGTAACTTACTTCTCACAGGTGGAATACAGAGAGAATATGGGTGGTTTGCTACTATGTAAGTGGCATGGTCTGTCCTTGCCATGAAGGTTTGAACTAGCGGGAACAGGGAATGTAGTTCGTCTGAGCACTTTTCGTGGAACTAGAAATAGAGCAGTGAGAGGCTTGCCACATCCTACCTGTGTGAGAGAGAGGTTGGAGGATGGAAATGCTCATTTCTTTTAGTGAATCTGTGAAGGTACCTGGTTAAAAGAGTACTTAAATTGTGATTGATCCTGCAGTAAAAAAAATAAATTTTTAGCAAATTCACTTGCTATCCCAAAATCAATATGGCGTCATGTGGGACTCATATTTATTTTTAATTTAAAAAAAATAATTTGTAAAAGAATATATTAGGTATTAATTAAAATTTTTTTAGTGCTAATAATTTTTGACAAAATGGCCGCAAAAGTTATTTCATTAACCTCAGAAACCATGTCATCAACGAGTGATGATTGCTACTGTCTTGTGTACATAATATTCTACAGATTTTCTAAACAATATATATAATATACATTATTTTCTAACAATTATGTGTTTCATGGCAAATAAAGATGCATTATTACATGCTATAAATGTGGTCCTATACTAGTCATGGCTCTAGGTGTGGTTTTAGTCTCATGACTTCCACATGCATTTCTGACTAGCTGTTCTGTCAACTCCTGCGTGCACAGTGTTTGAAAGATCCACAGAAAGGAAATGACACAATTTAGACAGAACTTCTTCTGACAGCCTGCAACTTAAAAAGTCAAGCAACTCCCTATTAACAAATAACAAAAATATTTATTGTAACACAATTGTGAAAAAAACACATAAAAAAATGGAAAATGTTAACTTCTGCCAGTTGGTTATTAAAAGAAGACAGTTCTTTTCAATGGGCGTTAATGTCACCAAATAGGAGAGAAAAAGGAGATGGTGAGAAGTTTTGGTCTTATACTAATCAGCATGTGATTATCACCATTTGAGTAGTTGGTTCAGAGTCTTAGATTTTCTTCAATGAGCTGAGTCTTTACAATGTCTTCTACTGGCTGGAGAGAATCTGGAGTCAAAGGGGAAGATATGCTTCTTGACTTTTTGTCTCTGGTTTACTTATTGTAGAACTCCGTGCTTCACCCTTTATGGATTAAATTTTTGGACCAAAACAGCTTCTGATTGGTGATCCAGTTACAGACCATTTTATGTCATAGTCTCTCATTCATCAACCAATCATAGTTTGGGTTATAATTTACAGAAGAGAGGGAGAACCTCTTCTAAATCCATGATTCAATATTTTTTTTATTTGTTACATTCTTATTGACCTTTAAGTCTGAAGGCACCCAGGATACAGTAAGTAGGTCAAATGCAACTTATGCACGTGCTGTGAAGTTTGACACTTTTTGAACTCATTACCTCGCAGTGACCTTTCAGTATGGTGACCGACTACGGAAGCAAAAAATAAACAATAGGTGTCTTCAGTTTTGACATACTCAAACTTATTAAACCTAGTGACCTTTAAAATAACTAAATCCTAGAAAAATGCTTTGTTTTCAAAAAAATCCTATACTTGATAGAATTTTGTTAGAAAGAAAAAGATTTTCTTCTTAATAATTTTTAAGTACCAATTAACGATCTCATTGTGTCAAATAACTATGATTTATATTTATTTTATAATTATGGCCACCTCAGCATATATTAGTAACAGAATTAATTTGGTAAATATTACTAATGTTGTAGTTGAATCAATAATTTTTTTTCCTGGAGCTTTATTTTTTTTTTGCTTACTATATGTTTATAAAGCAATCAAGTAGAAGTTAAAATAAGTGAAATGCTATATGCGTTTCACCAAAATGTCACACTAAGCTACAGATATTGCTTTACATGCCTTGAGAGACTATTGGGCCTTAAACTGACCCCTGACCTCAAGTGGAATATGTACATATGATTCATCTCTACAGATGCAAGAAAAATGGTTTGTTCACTGTACCACTCTAGTAAGTACTGGACTCCTCATGCTATCCTCTAATTTTACAAAAGGATGATCAGGTAAAAAATGGAGTGCTGCAGTCATATTTTGGTGGGAGCTACCCAGTCCTCACTTTCCAGATTTCCAAAAGTGTCTCAGAGTCCTTGTAGGTAAATTATTTTCCACCCACCAACCTCTCTCTTACAGGTGGGATATAGCAAGCCACTCCCTACTCTATTGCTATTTTCATTGAAAGTTCTCAGATGAACTGCATTCCTTGGCTCAAATAATTCTAACCTTCATGGCCAGGACCCACAATGCCACTCACACTGTAGCAAACCACCCACATTCCCTTCATATTTCATTGGTTAGAAGTAAGTTCCATTTGAACAGCTTTTTCCCACGAACCACAGTTTTGTGGAACCGACCTCCCAAGAGCATTTTTCCCCAATCACAACAATCTTAACCTGTTCAAGTCTAGGGTTAATTATTATCTTCCCCTCCTATCCACATAAACTGCCATTTACTGTAACTCTCTACTTTGAGTGGCTCCTGGGCCCTGTACAGGGTGAACTTCACTGTAAAAAAAAAATATCCAAAATATATAGATATATACATAGAGTGTCTCTAACATTTGTCAAAGCAACTTGAAAATATAACTGTTCCCAGCATCCGGAGACATAATGTAAACTAAAAGATCACGTCACCAATATATGGCAACATAGCTGTTAAGTAAGTTATGTTTAAGTATATGTACATATTAAAAATTATTTTTTTATTCTAGTTTTCACATAGCATGGGGATAAGGCAGAGGATCATTTCTTATCTTTATTTAACCTTTATCACTCTGTATGTGATTTCATTTGCTGTACAAAAAGTTTATCCTGTCATTGAAGCTGACTGATCCCTGAACAATAGTGTGTTTGAATTTTATAGTTGTGTTGTCATATTCTGCTATGAAACAATAAGGATACTGCAATTGAGAGGCCTTGAAAAAGAATGCAGTAGAAAAGGAAGTAATTTTAGTAATGCAGAGTGCTTAAGGTTAATTTTACTTTTAGTTTAATATTCACAAAATATAAAACAGAAGTAAGAAAATGTAAAACAAAATAGAATAGAATTAGAAAAAAAAATTTCTGTCATTTTCTGATGATACAGGCAAACTAGTAATTAATAAAGATGTATTTTTTGTTTATTTTTAAATAACAACATCATAAATGATCAGATATTTTGTTAAACACTGCATACTTATTGTGACTATTTTTATTCTTAAATATTTTTCTGGATTTTCACTTGATTCCATCTTTTAAAAAAAACTTGTAACTAATCCTGAAGTATATTTCAAAGTAAAAGTTATTCCTGATTTATTTGAACTGTTATCTTCATCTTCATTGTTATAGTCACAATATTTCAGCTGTTGTACCCTTCAGGCTATTTCAGATTCCTGTTGTATTTGTTATTCATAGGACAGACCGAAGGCAAGAGAGACAGAGGAAAACAATACATTAGCTTGAGTAAATGGATGGTGGAACATGGTTTATGAGAAATAACAAAAAGAAAATAAATTATTAAGAGCTACAAAGGACAGGAAATTGTGGAGAGCCATAATTGCTTACGTCCTGATAGGACACGACACAGACGAACTTTGGTTCAGTGAAATAAGCAGAAGTGTATGAGTTATCTCCCCTAGTATTGAACAGCAGAATTATAAGTGGTTACTCTTACTGATTGAAAAAAGTTTT